CTATGGAAGCCATTCTGAAGCAGCCAGGGGGGGATTCTGCATGAGCCGAATAGCAGAGACAGGACCAATCGTCAAAATTTTGGTGTCGATCATTCGATTTCATCCTGGACACTACAGAAAATGGGTTTAGTGTTAAAAACCGGAATTTTCCTTTAAGGAGAATACTAGTAATGGGTCCAGCAACAGCAACACACTGGTGCAAACCCTGACTGATTGATGCACTAAACTGTGTTATATGGGCATCTGTCAAATAATCTCTGATCTTTTGCGGTTTATCGTCAAATAATCAAGAATTATAGAGCAACCTCAAGGCAAATGAAAGTTGTCTTTATCTGTTAAAAGGTTCTTGTTGTGTCATCCTGTTCCTCTCAATTATCACTCAACTTATCTGAATTCAAATTGGTTTTAAATTGACTCGTAGGTTGCTGTTCTTACTGTAGTTATTATTTTAAATAAATAAATCCTAGCCCACAAACATCCTTATTACATGTTACATGTTCAATTAAAATTTCCCGTTGTATGTTAACATTTACGGATTCCTTACAGATTGTTTATGTTCTTTTTTTCTTAGTTAAATGTTTCAGATTATGAAACATATTTTATTCTCAGAATAAAATAACTTGGATAAACAAAGAAAGCAGCTTTCATATACTTATAATTTTTTTTTTTTTGTTAGAGGAGAATACTAGTGATGGGTCCAGCAAAACCGATCCTTGTGTCGTTCTCCAACAGCAAAACCCTTTCTCAGTGCGTGCGTCGTTTCAATAAAGTCACCTGACTGATACAGGAGCTGTTTTGTACTGACTGATGCACTAAACTGTGTTTATAAGGGCATCTGTCAACGTAAAGCATCTGCCAAATAATCTCTGATATTTTGCGTTTTATCATCAAATTAATCAAGAAACATGGAGCAGCGTCAAGGCAAACAAAAGGTTTCAGCCCAGTGGGACTATTTTGATCTTATATTTGTTAAAATGTTCTTTTTGTGTCATCCTTTTCCTCTCAATTACCACTCACCTTAGCTGAATTCAAATTGATTTTAAAATAAATCTAAGGTTGCTTTTCTTGCTGTAGTTATTATTTTAAATTAATAAATGCTAGTCCACAAACATCTTTTTTCCCGTTCACTTAAATGTTCCCATTGTACTATATG